CACACCGCAATCCCTTCTCCATTCTCCTCTTGGGATCTTGGGCACGCGCGCACACACACACACACACACCCAGCGTGAGTTTAAGCCACCGGGTCCGGGACTCGAACTGCGGTTGACTACATGGGAGTCCAGCAACATAGCCATTACACTAACTGTTGGTCCCAGAGATTGCTATTTCTTGACAAATGCCAAAGGGGCCCTGAGGAGTAAGCTCAGCTCTCCCTAGAAAGTTAGAAAAGGTTTCAACGAGAAGTGACGCTTGAACAGAAAGCTGAGGGCTGAGCATCTGTCAGGCAGCCCGTGGCGCAGCCCATGGCGGGCCTGGGTGCAGGAAAAGCCTAAGGCTGGGAGAATTAGGATTGCACCAGATGCTGGCTATTGGGAACCTGGGACAGCTTCAGGATCCAGGATGGGGGGCAGGTGGGTAAAGCTGGAGAGATTGGCAGGGGACACAGAGGAGAGCCTCGAGTGCCAGGCTAAAAATCATGGGCTCTATCTCAAGAATGACAGAGTGGGGCTGGCAGGTGGCATGGTGGTTAAGGCACTGGAATGTAGCTGACTGGTTCAAGTCCTGGACCTGGCGATTTGCTTCCTCATTTTCCCTTTCTCTCTGTCTCTCTGGTCAAATGAAAAATAATGGTAATAACAAAACTAAATAGTTTTTTTTAATCTTTAAGAGCCAGCAGATGACGTAGTGGTTATATCACTGGACTCCCACATGGCCGATCACGGTTAGTCCCAAACCCAGTGGCTTGAAACTCATGCTAGGCGCGTGCGCATATGTGCCCAGGATCCCAGGAAGAGACGGGACTGCGGTGTGGCCATCCCCCTAGGGGGTGACTTCTCACTTTCTGTTTCTTTCTCTCTTGCTCTGGCGGGAGTGCATGCCCTAAGACCAAAATAAGACTGGGAACCAATGACAGCTTGTCAGAATCCTCAGCTAGGGATGCTGGCTGGCAAGATGTCAGGACTCTGGTGCAGGGTCCTCAGCAGCCTGGAAGACACACAAGAGTCTGTTCTCCAAGGGTGGGTGACAGGAGGAGGGATGGAGGGACAGTGACAGGAGAACTCGGCCAGTTCTCCATGTGTCTCACTGGCTCCTCCCCCTCGCAGTTGTAGGTGTCAGTGTTCCTCACAACCTGGCCCTGGCTGCCCTCTTCTTTCTTCCTGGGTGACACGATGCACAGCCACAGGGTCAGGTGTCAGCCATGTGCTTCCAAATCCAAATCTACTCTCCAGGCAGGTCCTCTCCCAAGCTCCAAACCCATATAACCACCTGCCTATCTGACTGTTCTGGGGCTTGGGGGACAGTGTGTCTCAAAGGCACCTCAAAAGGTCATCTAAAACCAAGCTTGTGATCACTTCACACAAACCAGGTCCCCCTCCACCATTCGCAAGCTCAGGGAAGGGGCCCTCTGTCCACTTGGCTGGGCACTTTCTAACGGAGATGGCATGTCCTCATTCTTCATATTAAGGCTTTCAAGTAACCCACTTTAATTCTGTCTACCCCTGCCATCACCTTCCCAAATGTACACTTCCCTAGTCCTGTCCTCAGTCAGGGTGTCACTCCGGGGCTTTAACCCCTTAGTACAACAGCTAAACCTGCCACGCTCGCGCGCCTCAAGAGAAGGCAGCAGTGCCCACCACTGCCCTCTCCTGCCCTGGCAGCTTCTCCCATTAACCTGTGTGTCTTCAGATCTCAGTTCAAATGGGTCTGCTCAGGGCAACTCCCCAGGCACATCCTCGGCAATCCCTCAACTAGCCTGGACCGGGAGCATCAAATCCCCCAGCACTGTTTCTTGAATGCCCACAGTGTGGCAGATACTTGGGGACAGTGGAGGCAGGTCCTGTTGGCAAGGAATTTACTGTCTGGCCGGAGTGGGAGAGGGAGTAAATAAGCTCCAGAATGGGACAGGCCAGGAAAGAAGTGGGGCAATGACGTCATCCTCACTGCACCCTGCACTTGTCCTTCCCGGCTCCCGGCCACAACCGGTGACATCTGCCTGTTGGATTATCTCATCAGGGTCATTTGCCACCCCATAACACCTGCCTGAGAAGGGGGCGACCGCAGGACACTGCAGGTGAGGCACGCCGGCCCCCGCTGGGCCCTGGCCAGGGGCTCGCTCCAGGCTGCGCACACCCTCGGTGTCCCCGCGGGCAGTGCACGACCGCTCGGTCACCCTCGGGTACGGGCGGAGTCAGGGTCGCCGTGTCACCAAGGACTGCTGCCGTTGGTACATGGGGGTCGTCGCTACCATCTGCGGACGCAAAGGCCGGCGGGAGGCACTCACCCTTTCTCGCCTTTGTTAACAAACTTCTGGACCTCCTTCACCCCGCGCCGAATCTGCTTCTGCTTCACGGCTGCAACGGCGAGAGTCAGTCGGGGGG